AATATAGCAAGACTTGCATTGCCTACTAAGAAAGTTAGTAGCCGGTAGTCATCGGGTTAAATTCTTGGATATTTCTAGCTGTATTGTGTATGTTCAGCTATAGCAGAATGACTTCAATCAATTGGTAAGTTAAACAATTATTTGGAATATGGCCTTTATTTATAGTGCAAGATAATCCATTTGTTTCACACATTTAATAAAATTGATGGAAACTTGTTTAATAGCACGACTACAGAAAAGAATCTTTGCATAGTGATGAATAAGTCACTCATGCATTCACAAAAATGCTGTGTTACTAATAGTAAACTAAATATAATTTTAGGATGTATTTATAGACAAATCTACACAAGTAACTAGTTAGGCCTCACTTGGAATACAATACACAGTCATGGCCTATATACCTAATAAAAGATATTGACTTATTGGAAAGAGTTCTGAGGAAGACTACTAGGATAGATCTCTTAACTTGTTTTGTACTGAAAAGTGATGGGTAAAAGGTGCTTTTATTGAAGTTTAAGTGATTATCTGGTGAACTGATTGGATAAAGACCACTGATTTATTTGTTCTGTATTCTGAAGACAAATGGATGAGAAGGGATACAAGTTTAAGGCTTGAAAAAGACTGGCTAGGCTCCAGTTAAGACCATTTTATTTTCTAACAAGTTGACTGACTTTCAGAATGTGTTGCCATTGGTAGTAGCAGAGACTAAAACTTTAAGTTTCAAGAAGTTTAAGATGGGAATCAATTCTTTCCTGAAAAGTAAAGGGTTGTCTTCAATTTTTACTTTTCCCATGGATGGGTGTGCAAAGACAACCTTTTAGGACTTAATTGTCCTTTTTTATTCATAGGTTATCATATGTTAGCTTTTTTACTACTGTACACCCTTATAAACTCAGCATTCTCATTCTAACCCTCCCAAAACAACTTTTACCCAACTCTATCTATTTCCTGTCTTGCTTCTCAATTTCTGCTCCTCATCTGGTATTATTCCCTCTATTAATGCAATCTTCCCCAGTGTTATCCTGAAGAAAATTAGTTAATGTACACAAGTCATATTACAGAAACTTTAGTATCTTGAATAGTGATAAAATACCTACTTACTTATCAATAAAAATTTGCTTTCATGTAAGCTTTAGTTGAAATTTGTGAAAATATAACTTAAATTACCTGAATCAATTTGTCACCTTTCATGACATCCAAATGCAGACCCACAGGTGGTTTTCCAGCCCTTAAAAATAACATAAAAGATTTCCAGTCTGTCCTGTTTAACAGTATTATACATGTAAAGAAACTTGACATAAGTAAATACACCCCCTAAGTTGGAAATAGAGTCAGGACATCACAACTCTGCTATAGCCTAGTCTTTTATTGAACATGAACCCCATTGAGCATGTGTAGGTTATCCATAACTAAACCCTGAAAAAGCATCTGAGTAAACCTACTCTCAAGGTTACATAATACAGATTCTGTAACAGGAATGGACTGAAATCTCAGAGACTAAGATTGCAGATCTCAACAACACAATATGTAGGCATCTTGCTACCTTGTGTAAGACAACAGGCTGCACCACAAAGTATTGACCCTACTCATATTTTGCCAGTTATGTGTATGATTCCAGATAAAAACTCATAACTTTTAAAACTTGGATTGGATGTCTATTTACTTATGTCAAGCCTCTGTATGAGTGTATATATATATATATATAAAAGCTATGAATTAAAGAGGAGAATACATCATAAGGAAAGATAGCACAAATCTTACACAGCATATTCAAACCTTAGATGAAATATAATTAAAAGTAAATTCATGAGAGAGAGAGAGAGAAACAAAAAATCGCAGCCACAATACAAACATCCAACACCGGGGAACAAATCATATGGTGGGTCATCATGTAATGTGCCCTGGTTTTTAGAGGTGCTGGCGGAAGTAAGACCCAAACTGCGTTGGGGGTACACCGTCTATCCAGTTTAACTTCAACTTCGCCTTAAAAAAAGCTAATTTTTATTTAATTCTATTAATAACATAATATCTCCATTTTAAAAACCAGTTTGGTGGATAATGTGTAGAATAATTAAGTTTCAAAATATAATCATCGACATTTTTTCTTTATCGAATTTAGTTTATCAATTTTTTTACATTTTGTAGCTATTCTGTATTTAGCACCTTTTTCTATGATTTTTCATTAAAGAATTATCTTTAATGATATCTAAATTTCCAGTAATAATAAATACTTATGAAAAAAATCTGTTAAAGAATTGGAGTCACACTCACATGGTAAATTCTTCACATTATTAATATCTAAATTATTTAAAAAGTCTTTATAATTATATATATATATATAGTGGTTCTATTGGAATTTCAATATTTAAAACTGATAACAGGTTTTAAATATTTTAAATGAAAAAATTTTTGTATCACAGAATGATGTAAAATTATAGAAATTTGTAAATCATTAACAGTTTTATGTTTAAAATTAATTTCTATATATCATGATTTTCTTATTGGCAAGCAGACATACCGCTGTGCCACTGGGGGGCAATTGTATTGGTAATACCTTTTGTTTAGATAGTATTAGCAAGAAATGTAAAAAAAAGAAAACTAGAGAAAAAGGTAAAAATAAAATAAAATGGGTTAATTTTATAAATTTTTGTAATTTATAATAATGATAATAAGTTTTATATTCTTGCAGAGTCATAGTTATTTCTACAAGACTATATATAAACAAAACACTTAATTTCCAAAATTATAAAATTTAGGCTTAAGGTAAATAATTTAAATAATATAATTAAAAAAGAACTTACAACGCTAGGAACCGGGTTTCGATACCCGTGGTGGGCAGAGCACAGATAGCCCATTGTGTAGCTTTGTGCTTACTTACAAACAAATAAATAGGCCATTGTTTTCCTGCATATAATTTCACGTACCTCAATAATTCAGATCCAGGGAAGCCATGTTATGAAGAGTAGTGTCCGTTATTTCGTTTATGCATCCGTTCTGAGCATTTCAAAACTTTTCACATATTTATCATGAAAATAAATATATATGTACTATTACACAGCTCCACGCTTTCGCTGGTAGTACGATATAACATGGGCAATATCAAAAGGAGTAGACGTATAATTGTAGAATCTTAACGTTTTACATGTACGTGAGGTTGTGCATGTGTTAAAAAGCGTGTGCTCAGAACAATTTACGATCATAACGTGCTTTCCTGACATTTATAGAAAGTGGCATAATATCCTGCTTACTCTTTGTACATGCCACCTGGAGTGTGGTGGTGGTATTCAAAATGTATAGACCTAAATGTTCTTCAGCATTAAAATGCTAATTAAGATTAAAAACAATGTTGGGATTCTTAATTGTTCATGTACTTGCATGGTTTTAGATAGTTCAAATATACTTGGTCGCATGGTTCTAGATAATTCACGTATTCTTTGACGCTGGTCCTGGATAGTTCACGTATTCTTTGACGCTGGTCCTGGATAGTTCATGTATACTTGGACGCTAGTCCTGGATAGTTCATATATACTTGGATGCTGGTCCTGGATAGTTCATGTATTCGTGGATGCTGGTCCTGGATAGTTCATGTACTTGGACGCTAGTCCTGGTATCCAGGACCAGCATCAACGAATACGTGAATTATCTAGAACCATGCAACCAAGTATATTGGAACTATCCAGGGCCAGCGTCCCAGTACACATGAACTATCCAGGACCAGCATCCAAGTAAAATGAACTATCCAGGACCAGCGTCCAAGTATACATGAACTATGTTCATGTATACTTGGACACTGGTCCTGGATAGTTCATGGTAAGTATGCCTTTCTTTAATAAGCATACGATATTTTCCAGAATTAAGCATAAAACTACTTGACAATAGACACGATTGCCAGAAGTTTATATTTTCTCCGTGTTTGGTATATTGTTGATGACAGGTAACGCATGCTTTCTTTCCCCTTGAAAACGTGTTTTTGTTAGACCATTTTGTGTTGAAATGCTATGTGACTATTTTATAGATTTTTTTCTTACTTACCACCTTTGATTCGCTTTAAAACTAGTTCAGTTTACATAACTGAACGATTCTTTTCAGTGTCTTTAAACTGAGTATGTGACATTTAAATCTGAAGAGTGTTCACGTATACACATTACGTTTCAGGTGGGGCTTACTGCATAAATAACTCTGTTTGTGTGCACGTCCTATATTCGTTATGATTATATGGATGTCGCTTGTATATACACTTATCAAAGAACTAATACTTGAACGAGGTTGTATATTTGTGTGGAATCATGCTTCAGTCAATTGTTGCTTGATGGGGAAAGGGTACCGTTCAACGGTTGTAAAGGCTAAAAGCCTGGGAATAAATCAGGAGTTTTCCTTTTTTCTGAAACTGCCAGTAAACTGTACTAGGATTAAACGATGGGAGGGGGGCCGAATTGCGTTATCTTGGGAAAGTACAGGATCATAAAAGTCAAGGGAAGTAGGATAGCATTTGTTTGAGCAGCATACTTCGCCTTTCTTGTATGGCCCGGAAACTGCGAAAAGAATTAAGTCACCTTCCTTTGAAACTTTTCCCCCAAACTTAGTAGTTGAAGGTTATTTTCCTCCTCGAGCAACCTTCTGCTTAGCTTTTCTCCTTGGTAGGAGAAGTAGAAGTGCACACACGCAAACCACTTCGGCACACCTTATCCCCCCCCCTCTCTCCCGTCCCTCTGGTAGCTTTTGTCTTTCATCTGAAAAAGCCATTTTTCAAGGTAACATGGGGAGGACCGAAACAGTTGTGGATCTCGTGTCAGTTTGTGGTTCGTTCTTGTTGAAGCGTGATACTCGTGTATTTATTGTGTAAGCTTCCTTCCGTCGGAAGCAAGGGAAAAATTGCTTTATCTTGGTGCAGTGTGCTATTGGTTTATGCGCACGTTTTGGGCACAGAATTTATTGTTTGGATCATGATTCATATCATCTATAACTTACAAATCATTACAAAAACATGTCTCGCTTGGACTAGTATCTGTTAAGAAACCACTCATATTTTGTTGTTTTTTTCTAAAGTGATTGAAGACTAGTTTTTGTTGTTGTTTTTTCAGTAAGTTGTTGAAGTCTTACACAGTACTACCGATCTTAATCTTGGTTTGAGCATTCTTTTGTTTAGATATAAGAGATGACTTATTTTTATGTATTGTTAAACGTTTCAAAACTGTCTTTCAGTATCTGGAGGTTTTTATTATTTTGGAAGCAATATGTGCAGCACCGCGTAACATTTTATGAAGCTTCAAATGGTCCCAATGGTTTGTATGTGGTTTATTGTGAGAGGCAGTTTAAGGGCTGAAATAAATATTTTTCGTAAGTTTACCCTTGTCATTTCCTTCATGAAGCCCATTTCTCAAAGGGCTCGGCACATAGAGGTCTATAATGATGAAAATGTGCGCACCGGCGGTGTCTTTCACAGGATATTTTGTATATTGTGTATCTTTATAGAATATTAATATCAAACAATCGAAAACTTCGCGATGTCGATGTATGTTTCTTTTAGTGCTCCAGTTTCACTAATATACCTTTTGTCTATCGCATGTTACTAACAAATTAATAATAAGTGAGGAAAAAAGGGTTTTGACGTGTGTGTGTGTGTTTTTTTTAATATTCTCAAAATCCTTTTCGTATATCAGTATGGCTTAAAACTAATAATTATTCACAAAAAAGCGTTAGATCTTTAACCTCTTACTCAACAAAGGGGCATCTTTGGTGTGCCCCAATTTTTATTTTCCAGGATCCATACGTAGAATGTACTTTTATGTGGATTTTTTTTTACACGTAAATTACTGTAATTGTGCTATCGAATGATTTATGGAGCGACTACTCTACAAAAATCCTTGGGAATTTATTACATTTTACACTTAAATGTCAAGCACTGTTGTGTAAAAGGAAGAAAGTGAAGCCCCTTTTCATTACAAAGGTTATATTCCACCAGTTGCCCGATGTTCAGTTTTATCATATTAAACATACGAACGGGGTGGCCCATAAAGTAACTTTACTGTAGGACGTTTCAGCTACTTTATTTCATATTTTAATTTGTTTGTCTTTTACAATCTGGGCCCGGCATGGCCAGGTGGAGCTCGATTCGCAATCTGCGGGTCGCGGGTTCGAATCCCCGTCTCACCAAACATGCTCGTCCTTTCAGCCGTGGGGGCGTTATAATGT